CTTTACCCTGGGTTTGTTGTTCAAGATGGACTCATAAGGTTTAAAGGGAGAGTTATGGTGGGGTCAGATGTGTTATTAAGGGAGAAACTATTGCACACTATGCATATCTTCCTATGGAGGGCATTCTGGAATCAATGCACCTACATGAGACTGAAAGGAAGTTTTTATTAGCCTCTATTAAAAAGAGATGTTGTGGCATGGGTAAAATCATGTGAAGTTTGCAAGAAAAACAAACCTGAGGCTGGGGCTTATCCAGGACTACTGCAACCTCTACTCATACCAACTCAAACTTGGACTGACATATCTATGGATTTTATTGTGTATGTACATTTCTTGCCCTTATCTCATCCCTTTTCAGCAAAAGATGTGGCTAAGGTTTTCTTGGATTCTATCTACAAGCTACATGGACAACCTATAAGCATTGTTACTGATAGGATAAGAATTCACTAACCATTTTTGGAAGGAACTTTTTAAATTGATGGGAATAAGGTTGGATATGACTTCAGCCTACCATCCACAATCAGATGGTCAAACTGAGAGAGTGAACCAATGTGTTGAGACCTCTTTCAGGTGTATGGTGCATGAGAACCCTAAGAATTGGCTAAAGTGGCTAAGTCTGGCTGAATATTGGTAAAACACCAACTTTCATACCAACTTAAAACTCACTCCTTTTCAGGTCTTATATGGTTTTCCCCCTCCTAATTTTGCTATTGGGCCCTTTCTAGATGCAACTAATGCAGATTCTACAAAGGCAGCCAATTTCCCAACAAGTCAAGGAGAATTTGCAAAAGGCACAACACATAATGAAATATTTTGCAGACCAACACAGGCAGGAAAGAAGTCTTAAAGTTGGGGATGAGGTTTTCTTAAAACTGCAACCTTTCAAACAGAATTTTATCAAGATTTCTGAGTGAAGACTATGTTAAATAAGAACTCAACCAAATATCAACATCAAGAAGCTAATTAGACCAAAAAAGCTTCTATCTGAAAATGAGACAAGGCAAATAATAACATGAACAC